CCTGTGAGGAGGTGAGGCCCTGGCAGAGTGGAGCACCGGCCTGCCCACTGGGATCATAAAGCTGCCTGCCAGAGGTGAAAGATGAGTCTTCCTGTCAGAGGGACGCAGACAGCCATGGAGACATGGTGGCAGGGCTGATTTAGGGCATGGAGGGCGGGGGAGGGGGAGAGAGGGGGGAAGGCTGGAGACAAGCAGAGAGCCAGAGAGATGGAGGCCCAGGCTCAGGCACAGAGACAATAACAGAGAAGAGACCGAGAGGCATACACAGAGGGTCAGAGACAGGGAGCAGAGAGATGTATACAGAAGCCGAGGGACAAGAACAGGGAGGCGCAGAGATAAAGGGAGCTAGAACAGAGACAGAAAGATGCAGGAAATGTGAGGAAGAGATGCCCAGAGACACAGATCCCAAACTAGAGAGACTTAGAATAGTTAGACACAGAGAGAAGGCAGAGACACAGAGGAGGAGGAGGAAGAGTCGTAGAACTTTAAAAAGCCAGAGGGCAGAGGTCTAGGAGTGCAAAGGCAGAGACAAGATGCACAGAGATAGTGAGAAAACAAATGGGAAGCCAATGGAGACAGGACAGAGAGGCTTAGAGACACCGAGGCAGGCTGTGGGACTCTGGACCCTGGTCTCATGCTCTCTTCTGTGACCAGATGCTCTGTGTGTATGTAGTTCTGCATATATGTGCATTCGTGTGTATGTATGTGTGTTGAGCCTGCAGATGTGGCGGGGGCATGTCTGTGTCTGGGTGCTTGAACATTTGTCTAGCAATCATGTGCATTTATCAACTAATTCCCTAGGGGGTGCCAGAGAGGTGCCAGGCTCAGCTCAGGCAGTGAGACACCCCACGAAGCTTCTGCGTTTATTAGTGGATAAAGAACTAGCAACAGAAAGCGCCATACTGTGTGTGTGTGTGGGTGTGTGCCCTACTATGGTTGGGTAGAAGTCCATGTGGTGGAGTGGGCTACACATTGGGCCACTAACCTCCAAATCAGCAGTTCAAAACCACCAGCTGCTCTGCGGGAGAAAGACGAGGCAACTACACACCCATAAAGATCCAGTCTCGGAAGCCTACAGGGAAGTTCTCCACTGGCCTATCGGGTCACGCTGAGTGGGCATCGAGTTTGAGTGAGATGTTGGCTGCTGGTCTGCCATCCCGTGCTGGCTTGTGTGTTGCCATGATGCTGGAGACCGACGAAGAAGACCGAGGAAGCAAAGTAGATCTGCTTTGACGAGTGTGCCAAGGAACCTTCATGGAGACACCGTCCATCTCTAGGAAGGCCATCGTGCTTGGCGAAGGAGGGGGTCGGAAAACACCAGGAGAAGCCTCTGTGAGGCGTGTTGCCGACACGGTAATAACCTCAACTGTGGGCTCACTCATGTCCAAGACGCTGCAGATGGCGCAGGCCTGGGCAACGATTCGTGCTGTGGTCGTTTATTCTGCTTGAGTTGCAGCCAACTGGTTGGTTAACAGTGGGCAGTGACGACAGCACCAGGCAGAGGTTTTAAACAGGGCGATGTGAGAGGGTGCACTTGGGACCCCCGTGGGTCTTAGAAGGCAAGACCTGGCTAATGCAGAGTGGGGCAGCGGAGAGTAAAGATCAGGGAAATGTCCTTCTAGGCGCAGAAGCCCTGAGGCGCCACCGGCTTGGTGAATTTAAGGCTCACAAAGACAGCCCGCGGGGCTCCAGTATTGGGGCAAGGCAGCTGGGCAAGAAGGAGAGACCAGATCGAGAAGGCCCAGGCAGGGCCGGGGAAGGGTTCTGGATTGTATTCTGTGGGAAATGAGAACTGGAGCATTTATGCAGGAAGGTCAAATCAACTGAGAGAGGTTTGGAAAGGGTTGGCTGGCTGCCGCATTTCCTGGGAGCCAGGATGAGCTAGTGTTCTTGCAACAGTCCAGGCAAAGAAGAAGGTGGCTTGAGACAGTGGCATCAGTGGATGCGTGTGGCTGTGTGGCATGGGTGGCAGCGATGGACTTTGGCAGTGATGAAATTGAGATCACCTGTGCTGGGAGTGGAAGCTAGGGAGGAAATTGAACCAAGAGGTCTGTTTGGGTCATGAGTGATAAGTCTGTGTGTGCTTGTATTTGTGTGTACACATGCCAGGCCCTGGGTGTACCCTGTGCATCTGGGGAGCCCAGGTCTGCTGTAGTAGGTTGTGTCAGTCAGACACACTCTGTGTGGCTGCACGGGGCCCCCATCCCTGGCTCTGTACCCTCTCCCAGCCCTGGGTGCTACTTCTGCCAGATGGGGATTCCCCAGTGGCTAGCTGGGGCAGTGAGGTGGGTGAGTCCTTGGGCACTGCCTGGCATCTGGGTGTACTATTCAGCCTCAGGAGGCCTTGGCAGCCCCGCCCGGCAGCGGCAGGCAGGCTCCGGGGCAGCTGGCGGCGATTAGCAGCGCTGATTACCTCGTGGCGATGCCATCTGGGGTGAGGGCATTGAGCCCAGGCCCACGGGATCCCCTGCTTGCTGGCATGCAGTTTTCTGGGACCGTGTGCATCTAAATGTGTTAGCATAGCTGCATGTGTGTACAAGGGGGCTTCTGAAGTTCACGGAAACATTGAACTGGTAGATAACGGACTCCTGTGAGCTTTTTGAAAGTCCTCTTATACACACATGCATGTATGTATGGACACATGTTCAACATGTGCATGCTTGAGTGGGTGCTTCTGTGGGGGACGAGCCTCTGTGACCCCTCCTGTCTGTGTGTGCACCTGTGTTTGTGTTGTTGGTCTGCAGCTTCTCCTGCATTTGCATGCATGGGTAGCTGTGTCTGTGGGCACATGTGTGCGTGTGCTTTTATGTCTTTCTGTGTGTGCATGTGTGTGATTATCCAAGTAGATGAAGTGCTTCATGCATGCATTTTGAGAATTACACAGTTGTCTGTGTTTGGGTACGGCCAGGGACATATTATGGGTACCCCTCCCCCCCAAAAAAAACCCAAGACTTTTTTTCAAAGCTATATATTTAAATGTTTTACAAAGCAGCCTTAGCCTTATCACCTTCAAAGTACTCTCCATGACACTTAATACATCTGTCAAATCTGCGGTTCCATTCTTGGAAACATTTTTCAAACTCATCTGTTCGGATAGCTGACTGCACCTCCCTAATTTTTTCTCCACCTCTTCTACATCGTCAACTTGCTGTCCTTTCATGGCCCTCCTCATTTATGGAAACAAAAAGAAGCCACAAGAGTGAGGTCAGGTGAGTAAGGTGCTTGGGGCAAGAGGGGCATGCTGGGTTTTTTTGCCCAAAACTGGCGCACTGAGATGGCTGCATGAGCAGGTACATTGTTGTGGTGGCAAAAACAGTCCCTCATCTGCCACAAATCAGGCCTTTTTTGTTGACACAATTATGCTATCAGTCCAGAACCTCTAAGTCAGGGGTCCTCAAACTTTTTAAACATGGTGCCAGTTCACTGTCCCTTAGACCCATTGGAGGGCCGGACTATAGCTTAAAAAAAAAAACTATGAACAAATTCCTATGCACACTGGATGAGTCGGCTGCTAAGCAGGGCAGGTAGCAGCGGCAAAAACACCCTGCGGGCCAGATAAATGTCCTTGGTGGGCTGAATGTGATGCACCGGCCATGCTGAGCAGACAGGACCTGTGCCTCCTTGCCCCGCAGACCCAAGCACCCACACAGCCCAAGCAAGACCCACCACTTCCCGCCTGCTGAGCTCAGCGCTTCTCAGGCCCCACCGCCACATCTGGGCCAGGCTCCCAGCTGGGACCACATTGGGGCGCCTCCATGGCCGTGGTCAGGATTTCCGCTGACTCAGCACCTCAGGCCAGAGGCGGGGAAATCCCAGGCTTGCCCCCATTCCCATCCAGATTAGATGGGACCATGAGACTCCTAGGCCACTCTACTACTGTCTCTACAGGAACTCCCTTTGGTGCCCCCACTCTGCCCCCACACCCATCCCCTTGCACCCAGGGTGATGCCGAGAACTTGGGAGACCTATATGAGAGTCCCCTTGGCCGTCCTCCAGTCCTGGGCAGTACCAGAAACCTTCCCTTCCCCTCCTGAAGTCCCTTCTTCATCCAACCTCAATCCCTCTCACTTCTTTGGCTCCTGAACACAAGGCAACCTCCCCAGCACCAGCCTAGAAGCTCGAATCCCAGACTCCCCCAACCCCACCCCATGGCAGTAATGACCCTAACATTTACTAGCCCGCGTGTGCCAGACCCTACATTAAACGCTTGTAGATAATAGTGTCATTATCACACAACTGGAAGCAGGGACCGGGTTTTGAGCCTTCAGTTCTTATGGAGAAAGGAGGTGTAGGGGATTCAGACCCATCTACCTCTCTGGGCCAGAGAGGAAAGGGTTAATTTTGTACTCTGCGCCCCCCCCC